TGAAATTTGGTTTATGAGCTGGTGAAGGCAAGAACAACTAAATATTACGCTAAATATCTCGAAAGAATAGAATTAAGCTTAAATTTAGCCTAAATATCTATCATTTTAACCAATGTAAATAAGCCGTGAACTCATTATGAAATAGGACAATTGAATTCTTAGGGATTTTTTCATTGCGACGTGAGTGAATAAAACTTGCGATATATTTATTTATGAGACGTCGATTATGTTTTGATTATCATGCAAATTAGGGGGAGCCCCAGGTATAATTTCTGATAGATTTTGGGGACTTTTATTCACCCTTGACGACGTAGTTGTGTAATCGGTATATTTTTATAATTATGAAAACTATAAAAGCAGAAACTGGAGAAAAACTGATCCATTATATTGTAAGAGATACTTTCTGCTATTACAAGAATAACAAGACCGAGAACCATGGCAAAGTACAACATTTATCAGATGCTCTCAAGTCTTCCATGTCACTTTACATGGGATCAACTACGGCTACAAAATGCTAGGCGTACAGTGCAAATGAATATCGAAAACCTTGAAGAACACATCGAACAGACCATCCATGGTACCGAGGTAGAATCATACAACCTGATGGGCTTCTACAAGACACAGAAGGAATCCTTCGTTGAAGCGAGATATTATTTCAACAAGGCTCTAGAAAACACAAAGACAGAAGATGAAAAGATAGTTGGTCTTGGTTGTCTGGCATGGCTGACGTGGAAAGAGGGGTCTTCAGATTCTTCTGCTCAAGATTTAATAGTTAAAAAGTTCACTGAAGTGAAACGTATTCTTGGAGTTAGAGAAGACAGGGACATTCCAGAAGTTATGGCTGAGAAAGCTTTCTCGATTGCTAACAGTGGCTATTCTGGGAGCAGTTTCCAAGAAGCTCTTGTATGTATTGACAGAGCCTTAAAAGAAAAGACCGACAACGTAATGTTCAAGTTCACTAAAGTTTTTGTTATGCAGCATTTACACAATGCGAGAAAGAAAGAAGTCGACCAACATGATCCAACAGTGAACGAAATCAAGATGCTTTGGGAAGAGATTATCGACAATTTGGAAAACTGTCCATACCTAGATGTAATGTATGGCCAAGCTTTGATTCAATATGCATTGTTTCTGGCCAAGATTAACAAGCATGACAATGGTGTTGAAAGCCAAAAATATGCAGAGAGAGCAAGAGGTTGCTAGTTCCAACCATGCCGTTATGCGAAATGTTGCAAAATTTTATATCAGAACTACACATAAACTGGAAAAAGCTGAAGTTATTCTAAAAAACATTATCGGAAGCAAAGCAGATAAAACAGTTTACAAGGAGCTCTCATTACTCGGGGAACTTCTATTGAAAAAGTACAGAATGAAACCAGATGAGAAAATCTTCGTCGAAGCTGAAGATTGCCTTCGCAAGTCCTGGGCTAGCAACAAAAAATACATAACAGTAGCTATTGATTTAAGCCGTTTGTACCAAGAAAAATACGATAAGACAAAAGATATTTTCGTTCTTCTTGAGGCCGAAAAAATCCTTTTTCAAGAAATATTTTTGTACTTTGAAGAACAAGATGAAACCAATAAAGCACTTTTCTACACAGCATACGCCAATTTTTTGAAGGATTATGGACTCACCCTTGCTTCTCACCGCCAGGAGACATCCAGTTCGAATGACAGTATGGATGAAGGAATCATAAATGGTACACTTGAACAGGCTTCAAAGCTTTTGTGTCAATACGCAAGTGATCGAGATGACACAAAACTACTTAAAGCTGAACAGAAATTCAGAGAAATGTATGGTAACCTGGAGCAGTTGACAGTTCC